CTCTAGCCTGAAAGACCGGAGCAATGGCAGGCGCCTGCGAGCGTCTGCGAGGATGAATTCGCTGAATGAAGCTATGGAATCGACCTTGCTAAGGCAGACTGAGCAGATCAGTCGATCTTGCGATATCTCCCGTAAGCCGGATGCAGTGAGCGAGAGGCGAAGTAGGTCTCCTTTGGGCAGGTAGGATACCAAGGTTGCCAGGGTGTCGAAGTTGAGATCCATCAGCTGCGGCATATTGGCATAGGATAATCAGAGATGTCTCAAAACTGTTGGATAGGAATGTGGCGCGTGTGCTATACCATGACACGGATGTAGGGAGTCAGCCATAGCAAGAGGAATACGAAGCGTGTGGCGTACCGATAGGGGGAACGTACTGTAAGGTGCAACGCAAGTGGTGTATCCTGTAACGCAGGGGAAAATATAATAGTTGGAAAGAGAGAAAAGGAGCAATGCTTGCCTCTTATACGTATGCGTTTTGGGTGCCACATCTGCGCTTAAGCGTAGCATTACCACGCCACACTAAGTGTGATGGCCACTGTGTTGTGGAGGCGTTGACGCGTTGACGACGTGGCCTCGATGTCAATGCAAGTGCAAGAAAGCGATGGAAATCGACCTTAGAGGGCTGCACCCACTGTTGAAAGGCGCCCGATATTCCTGCTGGCCCGTGTTCATATGCGAGCCGGGAGGCGAGGTGCCGTAGAGCACGAAGCATTCTGTGAAAGGAATTACACATATCTCAGTATCACCTTTGCTGTCTTGTTTGTCGCTCGGACACAGCACGTCGGACGCGACAATGGGTCCCGCGTCTCCGAGTCGTCGTCAGCTATTACTTCACCGCCGTACTTTTAGGCGTCAGAGCATTAATGGCAAGGAAGAAGTCTGTAGACATGGTGGGCACGCGAGGCTCGTAGCGAGGGTCACGGCGTATGGAACGACTCACGACTGCGCTCTTGCACTGAAGACGGTTGTGAGCGCGCTTCTCATTCCGGACAAAGCCGAGCCAATCCGGTTATGGATCTCTCTCAAGTAGGTATCTGCGCAACCTGGCTGCTTACTACTTTTAATCTTTGAGGGAAGGCATCACTTGATTGAAAAAAAGAGATTTAGTACAAGATGAACCGCGATGCAAGGGTTTCCATCATTATCCCAGATTTGTTTTCTGGACATGGCCCTGGGAGGATTTGGGATGCAGTTTAGTGGGAATTGCATGAGGGGCGAATCACATGCAAATATGCACACAACACATCAAATTCAATTCTACTTTGTCGAGGAATCAACTTTAGACTGCCTGATCAAACGCTCAGCCTCAGAATATCGGGGCGTTATCGAGCACTTGAAGGGTACCGGGTGACTATCAAGGATGACCGCTCTTAGAACTCAAGCTCTACTTCGGCGAGTGGCACGAACCTGGTCATGCCTGTTTGGTACTCGAGACTGACCTCCACTACGGTCCCATCAGCATTGAGCGCTTTAGTAATAGTGAAGCCAGCCAAAACAGAAGCGACGGCTGCCCATACAGCCGCTACCTAGAGTACGAAACACACCGTCTTCCCATTCCGAAGGCCGTCTGGGGGAAGTCGTTCTTGATGCTGCCATCGGGATTCAAGAACCTCTCGGGTTCGAAGCTTTCCGGATCTACGTAGACTCGCTCATCCATATGCATAGCCCTGCGAGGAGTAATAAGGATCGGGTTGGCATGTTTTGCTCACGACACCCTACCATATATTCATAACGACTGTCGTCCCTGCAGCATCGGACGGAGTCAGGAGCAGCTTACACGTTGTTCACTACTCACCTTTCGGTATGAAGAAGCCATCATATATATCGTCTTCTGTATTGGCGTGCGACACACCTGTGTCCAATTATGGTTCTCTAAGCTCCCATACCTAAGCAGCGGCACCTACCAAGTGGTACAACAGCCCGCCATCGAAGGACTTCCCTGATCACTGCCTCCACGTAGGGTAGTGAAACCCTATCATCGAAAGAGGGAAGCCTTCCCGCCCCCACCACAGTATCAATCTCCTTCTGTGCCCGCTCCTGCGCAGCGGGGTTGAGAACCATGGCAAGAAAGAAGTTGCTTATCGCAGAGGTCGTCTGAAGCTCAGTCAGGCGATATGGTGTATTTCAAAATCTAGAGGACCGCTCACTGTATCCGCTCCATCTGATTCAGAGTGTCTAGATCAGCATGAGAAACTTCAAGAAGGAAGATGAAAATTCACCGAAATAACCAGTACCCGAGACACGTTTTATAGCTTCCTCCCGTGAGTCGGTGTCATCGAAGGACATCCTGTTCATTAAGTAGTTCGTGAAGGACGCCGGTGCATTGCCTTGCTCCTATTGGTAAACAGCAGTGAGCTAATATTGATTAGGATTCAAAGTCAGCTTACTATGAGCGACTTGACGTGCTCAAAAGGAAGCTCCTGGATTTGCTTGAACAGAGCTCGAGCAACATATGCATCACTTTTGAATCCCATGCCGGGTAACCAGAAAGGTAGGTACTCCACTGGACAATAATTCAAGACGACTCCACAAGATCAGACAGGAACAGCGCACCAGCAGGGAAATGGTCGACAATTGCTGACCCCGGGAAGCCATACCCGCACATCAGCGATGTTCTACAAGCTCCACGAAGTGGTCGTAGACTTCTGGGATGTCGTACCCGTACACTATGCCGAGAACATTTCCTACTGCGAAGCTGAACAACCTATAAGCTACATTGCATGCTTAAAGAAGGGGCATCACCACACCGTCGAATGCAGCTCATGAAATCTTCCTTTCGATAAAGAAGCTGTCTTAGCATGTTCACAGCTGCGCGCATAGTCCTGGGAGCATATTGCGCAACGTGATCGGCTCGGAACACCTGTTGGAAGAGTCTTCTCTCACGACGCCAATAAGGCCCATACTTCACAAATCCAATGAAAGTCGCGCCGACCCTAGTGCCCATGAGTTCCATATACAGTGAAGTATACCTCCGCATGCGGCGCACGCACATATGCATGCCACGAAACAAAGGCCGATCGGAGTATATATTGGAACGCTTTTCGAGGAGATCACGGGCCACTGCGCCGGAATTGACGATGATGATGTGCTCATTGAATGCGCGTATATGCACCAGATCGCCTGGGCACCACGCAAGTCAGGAGGGGCATGGACCAGCTACGACACATATACGGACCGTATTGCTTGCCCCATTGTCCATACAAGTGCCACGGTGTTTTGGCGGGAATCTGGAAGTAATTCCCGAAGAAAGGCCATGGCTTTGGCCCAGGTGGACACGGCAGGCTGAGCGGATTTGCTGCCCTCAGGCGCCGATGCCTTCGCACATAGTATGCAAGGAGGAAAATCACGACGAGATATATACCTGTAGCAATAAACATTAGCTCAGTTCAACGAGACTAGTGGCAGATAAGCAAGAGAATGGGAGTCTGTAGGAGCGATGTATAGTCCCCTGAGAACCTGATCTCGCTCGCAGGGCAATGGATATTCCTAGAGTAGATTTCCGCATGGAGCGCGCACAGAACGTTTACTAGAAGTCTAATGGACGTAGAAGCACCCATGACCCACCAAGAGCGATCGAACAGTGACGAAAATCTGAGGATATATGGCGAGACCTTTCACTCCTGTCCCGTCTCTGGGAGCCTGGCAGCTAATTTCAGAACGATAGACGCACCTCATACGTTGACTGGGTGTCTATCGCTCTGCAATCAGCTGGGACGTCATAGATAGCGAGCTTATATATGCGAACATCATTATAACTATAGACGTACCATAAGCGGCATGCGGAGTGCTCGGTACGTTCAAATGCCAGAAGATCAGATGACAAGGACTGGGAACCGTATATCAGCTAGAAGGAAACCCTCTCATCAGCAAGAGTCGACGGAGGTAACGCACGCGGCGAACACGAACTTTGAGCGTAACTAAGAATGTCGCTTCAGGCCTTACTCTGCTACGCCTCCAGGGCGGAACATCGATCAGTTACAAAGTACTGGTCGGGACAGTACTGTTGAATTTACAGCAGAACCCTGCAGATACACTTGACTCCTTCGGATGAGTCTTCGGTCAGTTTACATTCCATTGTAAGCAGTGGACGCCACATCGGCGCAGCAGACTTTCGTAGAGCACGGCAACCTCCTAACGTACCAACATTGATTTGCTCGCACAGGAGTGACATCGCTCTTACACCGTTCCAGAGTACGCGCAGGTCAATTGATCTCGGCAAAGCGTGTTGCATTCCGATTCAAAATGTGCTTTAATCTCCTCGGGCTTTATCTTGTATCACAACTGGCAGGGCGTCTGTGAGCACCTGCAAGCGCACGTGTACCACCCGTCGCCGCATGGGGGGATGGGACAAATGCTGTCCGTGGCTTCACCTGTCGGAAGAGCAGCTCCGTGGCTCGCGACGAGTGTCGCAAGGAGAATGACGACGGGAGCTATAAGTTTCATGATAGACTACCACGGATCCTTTTCATCAGTGAAAGTCGACCAAGTCTAGACATCCTACGTACCACAGGCTCGTGAAAGGTAACAATGCAACCGGAATATCGGTCAAGAGGTATATATACCCAGGTTCAGCGTTCACGTCACATCAGCGCAGTTCGATTCTGCCAGGCAATCGATGATGCGCCGAGATAATAGAGACTGATCGGTGCGCGCGAATGTGCGATTGGTAGCGCCGTTCCTATGCCGAATCCGACGGGAATGGGGCCCACGAACTGTTGGAGACATCTGAAGAGCGGCAAACGGCAGTGAGCTTGAGGAGCAGCGGAATCCCATGGTCCCGTCGGGAGACGATGCACTGAATATGAGCCTCTCGATCCGTCAGAGTGTTATGTAGCACTGGATATTGGAGACTAAGACGAGCGATCCGAAGAGAGGGGAGCCTACATCCAAGTTAGCGCTAACGACCACGCACAACATTGGCTCGAACCTTTGCGCGTTCAGCCGAGCGCCGATCCGACTGGTGAACCGTCTGTATTCCTTGACAAGTCCTGGCAAGCGTTGTCCGCGAGGGACGATGGGTAGGTGAGGCCAAAATTTGTAGTTACTCCTCGGGTGCAGCGACTGAGGGAAGGTAGAGCGCTTTGTGGTCACTTGGCATCCCCCTTAGGTGCTGCCTCTGAGGGAGAAGCGAAGTGAGCAGATTGCGATACATCGAGATGCCGGATGGACTCGACGGCAAATGAAGATGTCTTCAGTGCGATGGTGATGCGGTTTGGTTACTGTGGTATGCAATGCTAACTGTCTGCGAGACCTCTGGGCGACAGAATCTGGAAAAATATCATAGACAATACACATTGGCAAGATTAGTATACATGTCAATGAGAGATATACATCCTCGAGAGCAGAAAAATCACCATAGTCCCCAGCTAAGGCCAAGCCAGTCAACAAGTGTCGACAATACACCAGTTTTCTCGCCCGGAAGCCTACACTGCTCCACTTCCTCCGCCGTCACGTTCTTCCAAACGTCTACGGGTATCCAGCCAATATACGCTCTATCTCCAAATCCCCCAATCCAATATACCCCGTTCACAACGAGCCTCACCCACCGCGACTCGTGGATGCGATTCCCGGGCAGCCAGAGCCGCGCATCCCGATGGTGCCGCACGAAACAACTCGCCACACCACCCTTCTCGACATCTTCGTCTGACAGATCCTCGAGGTACCCCACGAGCGAGAACCGCGGCAGCGCAGCAGGGCTGTATGACCGCACATGCGCATCGGGCGGTACCCACCGCATCGAGAGCGTCACGTTCGACCCCGCACGCGCGTTCTTGAAGCTCGTCGCGATGTCGACCGCGAGGATAGTCGGGTTGCCTGCGGCGGGCTCGCAGTCGGCAAAGTAATCCATCAGCCCGATGGGGGCGCCTTCGAGACCGGCGGGACGGCTCTCCAGTGGCGTGGCGGACGGCTCGGACGAGGGGAAGACGGTGCTCAGGGTGCCGATGGTGGTAAGGTGCATGATGCGCCGGCCTTGCACGGCCGACTCGTGGACTGTCGGTATCCGGAGCGGCGCGGTGTCGCCGCCGATGGTATTGGCATCGAGTGGGCTGAAGATCGACTGAGGTGTTAGGGATGTGCTTAAGGTGCATGATGCCACGAGAGCGACGAGAAACAATACGGAGCGCACTGAGAGCGTCATATCTGAATATCTTGGGCACCAGCAGCGGCCGGTAAGATGACACTCTAGAACGGCAGCGACAGCCTTCAGCGATCCTTGAGTAGTGTCGGATGAAGTCGAATGAGCAGGCCCTCTGCTTTCGGTAATTGCCTCGGGTCATGTCTGAGCCGACTCGGTTGACTCGAATTCAGAGTTCCACCTCTGGCCGGGCTGCCTCGAGGCAGCCTCAGCT